CTCCTCAATCCGGTCTGCTCTCCTTGCCTCCAGAGTGGGCCCAACCCGCAGGTCATTGCTGAGTGGGCATGAGGCAGCGCCGGAGCCCGGGATGGTCTGATGGGTCTGCGTGAGGCCCAGAGGATCCGAAGTATGTGACCACTGCCACTGCATGGCTGGGTGACCTTGGGGACAGCTGTTGTGCATCAGCTTCCCCATCTGTGAAATGGGGATATTAAGGGTAGGAAACACAAGGTGGCCGAGAGGACTAAGGGTTTGCTACATGTAAAACACCCGCAACCACGCCTGACCCTTCCATCACCTACAGTAAATGTCAGGGATGATTATGATCATTTCTGTTCCAGCTGGGGGACCTTAGGCACCTTCTGATAGGCCTAGGAGCTGGAGATGGGAGATGAGAGATGAGCTGACTTTGGCCACAGGTCATCGCATGGGGACTGTGTGCTCTGTGATGTTGCCCACAGGGCACGTGATGAAAGCTCTCCCCAAGTTCGAGGCCCGAGATGTTAAGTGAGAGGTCTGAGTGGGTATGGCCAATAAATAAATGGGTCTCAAGGGAGCCCTCCACGCGTCTCATTCAGCACGGGGTCTGCATCCAGACGTGGGCCGGACACCGCTGGGGTGCATCCCCACACTTGGCTTTGGGGCGACCCCTGGGGTGGGGCTGAGGCCGGGGCCCTGAGCCCTCAGGTTTTCCCTCGAAAGCCAGCAGACTCAGCGGACTGTGATGCTTTCCTGTGTGTAGGAACGGTTTTTACAAGACTGACGTCTGGGAGAGCTGGGCTGTGACTTCTGTGCATGTCCTGTGTGCGCGTGTGTGCGCACACGTGCATGTGTGGGCTTTGAACTGGGGAAGGGGCAAGAAAGAAGGCCTGGATGGCCCGGCCTACCATCTCACACATTGCCTTGCTCTGTTCCTTCTTCCCACAAGACATGTGTCTCCTTATCTCTCTCTGTCCATTAAAGGGGTCCCCATCCTTCAGAGTCCCTCCTGACTGTCACGTTCTGTCTCAGATCCTCTGCCTCTACTGGAATGTTCTCCATGCGGGCTTTGTGCTTCCCTTACGGCCTTGAGCCAGTTGGGCGCCATCCTGTAGTTCTTTGTAGGCAGGGGTTTTGCCCTCGATTCAACTGTAAACTCCTTGAAGATGATGGGGGGCCCTTCCTTCCTCACATCTCTCTTCACATATGACATAAGCTCTCACACGTGGCCAGGGCTCCATGGTGGATTTGGAGTCCCCCCTTCAAAGGGGGCTCCCAGCTGGCTGTCCGTTGCTATTGCTGGCCTTGTGACCAGGAGGAGGTCACAGGACCGAGAAGGTTGAGGAGCATGAGTTGGAGAAGAAATTCGTATGGGGTTGGGAAGGTCACCGGGCGGTGTGGGGAACAGCAGAGCCCGAGTGCCGCCTCATTCAGGAACCTCGGGCAATTTTGAATGGTAGGACCAGCTCTGGGCTGTGAGCTGTGAGCAGCACTTCACAGCGATTGTCCACAGAAGAACCCGAAAAGAAGGGGAGTTTGTGCCCGGTTCGAGGACAAAGTGAAGGCCGAGTTGCGTCCCCCCCGCCCAGGTCTGGCTGGCACACCCAGTGTCCGGCACACCGTCTCCAAAGACATGCAGCTTCTCTGTGCCTTTGTTCCTCCTTTAACCACGAAGGTGTTGAACAACGGGGCCTCCAACGGCCCTATAACCCGAACGTTCTCTGACTTTTCCTCTGGGGGCTGAGGGGGATGCAGATGAGAAGGCAGGCCTGGTCGAGGGGAAATGGGGTCAGGCCTCTAGTTGCTTCCAGGCCTCTAAGAAACAGCAGAAACAACTGCCCACCGGCATGGCCGTCCCTCTTGTCGCTCGTCTCCTGGGATCAGCGGTATCTGAAGATAAGGGCAGGGAGGCCCCTCCTGACTAGCAGCCGGGAGGGCCAGCATTGCACCTGCCAGGCCCCGGCTCCCCTCCGCCCACCGGCTCTCCACTCTCCCTCTCTCCTCCCTGCCCCTGCTCTCCCCACGGACGGCCTTTCCTGGCCTTTCTCTCCCCTCCCTGTTAATCCTGGTCCGGCTCAGGTGACAGATCACTGTGGGGCTTGGCTTGACACCGAAGGGAAGGGGTGCTGTCAGGGGAGAGCTTGTGGTTTCTTTTCTTAATGAGCCCTTCGTCCCCACCTCCCTCTCCCTGCCACTCATTTGCCACAGTCTAGACTGGGGATGTGTCTTTGTGCTCCCTCCGGGAAGAACAAAACACAGAACACAGCAGCTTCACTGTCTTGGGAAGGCCAAGGTTTGGGTTTTCCCCTTTGCTTTTCGAACCCTGTTTGGAATCTTCATAGCCCATCCCGGAAAGGAAACCTCTCATCTGGGCTTTCCGCCCCCAAAGTTGAACACAGGAGGGGATGGCCCACCAAACCCCACTCCCTGGGGATGCGGCCAAGAGTGCCAGGTGGGTCGCGTGGCGCCCAGGGGGAGCAGAGTAGGGCTGCACGAGGGAGGGAGCATCTGGGGCTTCCTTCCTGGCAGGCTGTCCTTTTGCAGCCCAGCCTGCTGCTCTGGCCCCCACCCCTGCTAAGTCAGCTCCGAGCTCCTGCTGCCAAGGGACCAACCCTGCCAGCCTGAGCCCCGGCCGCCCTGCTCCTTCGCCCTGGGCACCTGCAAGCCACTCTCTTCTTCTCTGCTGTTACTAGTCTGTCTCCCCAGCATCACCCCCACTTTGCTGCTTCTGTTCTCTCTTCTTCAGGATCCCCTCCAGGGCCCCCGAGTTCGGGTTTCATGCACAGGACGGACCCAGTCTACAGGCCGGCTGGTGCATTCACAAGGAGCCGCTGGTGTCCTCAGCTCTGACCTGGGGCCACCCCCCCCCCGCCATGATGCTGGGCGCCAGGATAGTCAGGGAAGGGGCTCCCGGGTCGGAGGTGGCCATGGCCACGATCTTCGTCCTCACCCACTCTGATGATGTCTTAGGTCATTGGCTCTCAGTGCCGTCAGCACATTCTTCCAAGTCTGCGGATCTGGAGCCCAACACCATAGCGATTCCCTGGAGTCTCGAGGGTGGGCCCAGGCATCGGCGTTTGCTAGGGCCTGGCCAGGGCCGAGGGCTCTGGGTTGTAATTCAGTCCCGAGCTGATGCAAGTGACGAAGTGGAACAGGGGGTGCGGAGGGGACCGAGTCCTTCTGTTGGGTCTCCCCTAGCTCGTTGATGTCTCACGGATGCAGGGCATCCAGCGGAGCAGCGGGACTCGGGCGAGCACGTGTACACACGTGAAGAGCAGAGCCGAGTTAAGAAGGGACCTATAGGAAGAAGGGAAGGGCGGAGAAGCTGCAGTCCGGCCCTTGTCGGGGGGTGAAGGAGCCCAGGAGCACTCAGGGGAGATGTGGTGATCACCTGGCAAGGTGGTGCCCTGCTGGGGACGGCCTGGCAGGATCCCGAGGGTGTGGCACCTGGTTGGGCTGGAAGCGCCACGCCAGAGCCAGGGCGGGGCCGAGGTAATGAGGCTTGCCAGGGGTAGAAGAATGGGGTTTCTGTGCCGCTTATCAGGTTGGTGGCTCCCGGACAGGATGTGGAGGAGCCTTCCACAGCCCGCCTGGTGGATGGCTGCAGTCAGTGCTGTGTCACCATGAGGACTTTGGACGGGGAGCCCCACTTCTGACTTGCCGGTGACACGGGGCTGGCCACTCTGGAGTTAGGCTGGGTGGATGGCGTGCGCCTACCTGTGCACAGGGCAGGGCAGGCGATGGCCGTGCCACTGAGCCCGCCACAGAGGGCTGTTTCCACGGTCAGGACAGGGATACAAGAACTGGCCAGACACTTTGATCTTCCTCATGAGAGAAACCTTGATTCAGGGCTTTGCAAAAGGTCAAGAAAGGTTGTATCCACTTACCCATCTGGGAGTGGGGAGGGGATCCTGGAAAAGTGTCGGGGAAAAGGATCACCCCTTTGAGGGTCTGTTTGAGAAGGCAGGGCAGGGGCCAGTGAAATATTGGCAAATGGACCCTTAAGATTCATTTCTTAAAAAGAAATATATTTCAAATGCCCCCATGACACTGATAGCAGAAGCCTCTAGAACAAGCTGTATTTCTGCCCAGGGCTGGTGGGAGCTTATACGGTCCTGTAACTCGAGCAGGGCTGGACGGTATTATCCAAAGCTGGGTTTGGGTTCCTAGACCTGGGACCCAAGAAGTGAGAAGTAAGACTCTTGACCCTGATCCCAAGGCCGGCCCTTTTCACCCTCTGCAGATAGTGGGCAGTTTGTCCTCGAGCCTGACCAGTTCCCAGAGCCCAGCCCCTCTAAGTCCCGTAGGAGCAGAGGAGGGAGGATCTCGGTGAGCACCGCAGGGGCCCAAAGAAGTGTGGTGCCCGGGCCGGACCTGCAGGGTCGGTGGGATAGCCAAGCCCAGCAGATCAGTGTCCCTGTTGGAGTCTGCTCACTACTCCCCTGTCCCGTTCCTGAGGTTGCCTCCCAATAAAACGCCCTGTACCCATCTCCATGCCATAGGGAATAAAACCACAATGTACTGAGCACCTCACACGCGCTGGGAACTTTACAGGCATGAGGTCACTGGGCCACGTGGCCGTGAAGCAGTCCTTCTTGGGAGAGGTTACCATCCCCGGGCAAGCCCGGTTGTGCTATTTGCAAGGATCTGAGATGTCCAACGGCAAACGATTTGCACAAAGTTATGCCGCTGAGGGGCAGACCCCGGTCATCCTCATGCCCAGCCAGCACGTTCTCTGCTTACTGCGGCCCCATAAAGATCGAGCATCCCTGGGGACCAGGGACAGCGGGAAGGGTGGACGGTCTGCGTCAGCCCATTCGTCTCCGTGTGCCCTGTACCTTCACACATGCCCTGAACTCTCTCCTTCCTGCACCTGCCATGGGTCTCAGCTGGATCTCCCACACCCAAGGACGGCGTTGGGTCTAGGCGAGGGGGTCCTGTGTGTGTGTGTGTGTGTGTGTGTGTGTGTGTGTGTGTGTGTGCGGGTGTTGCCTTCATGTGCCTTCTTGCTCTTTCAGGAATTTAGCCATTGGAATCGGGATCCAGAATTTCCCAGAGGGCCTGGCTGTCAGCCTCCCCTTGCGAGGGGCTGGCTTCTCCCCCTGGAGAGCCTTCTGGTAAGTGCTCTAGAGTGTCTGCTCTCAGAGGCCGGGGTCGTGTCTGATGTAAAGCTCAGAGCAGTCTTTCGTATGGGCTTCTTTCTCCGAGAGCTGCCTCTTCCCACCTGGAAGCGACCCTGGAGCTTCTGCTAAAATGCCGACAATCTGTTTGAATCCTGCGCCCCCAGGCGTGGAAGGAAGCTCAAGAAACTCATCTCTTGACCTTCGACCTTTACATAAACCAGCCCCAATGGTCATGTTTCCTATTCAAAATGCCTCCGGGTATAGCCACGCCATGCCCATTCAGTGTTGGGTTTTCTCCCTGTCGAGTAGGAAGTAAACCAGCGTCTACTCTCAATGTCACACGCCTTTACGTAGGCCCATCTGACCACAGCCTATCTCCAAGAGTCATTACACTGGCCCGGCTCAGAACCCTTGTCAACGTGAAGACCAGGACTGTGTCAGGAGGGTCTGGGAGATGATGCCTCTTGCACTCCGAAAACGTGTTTTCAGGGTCCCTGTGGCCTTTCTAGTCTATTCCTTAATGTTACTTTTTCAGTGACACATAAGGTGAGTCCTCAGTTTTCAGAGGGGAGAACCGTGGCCCAGAGCGTCAGATGACCAGCTCTTAGTGGTGACTCCGAAACTAGAAGTCTAATCTGTCCCTCAACTCAGGACTCCGAGCCCCAGAATACCTCTTTGTTAAAACAATCGCCACTCTAGAATGTACGGTGAGGGCGTTTGAAAAGACTGCTAATAACAACAATTGAAAAATGCCTTCCATTTTATGGGACCTTATGACTTACAAGTTCTTACACATACTTAAATTATTTTTTTTTAAGATTTTATTTATTTGAGAGAGAGAGAATGAGAGAGAGCACGAGAGGGAAGAGGGTCAGAGGGAGAAGCAGACTCCCCGCTGAGCAGGGAGCCCGATGTGGGACTCGATCCCGGGACTCCGGGATCATGACCTGAGCCGAAGGCAGATGCTTAACGACTGAGCCACCCAGGTGCCCTAAATTATTTTATTTTACCCTCTCTTGTCTCTTCCTCCATTGTTGGAGTCTACGGAACAGAGGACGGGGTGAGGGCAGGGCAAATGGCCTTAGAGATGTGGTTCAAATGTGAGTTCCAGGAGCCCCAAAGCTGTGACTGTTATTTCCTACAGGAGGGGCACCACAAGACAGGAGGCGAGGGAATGGGGCGGGGGGCCTCGTGCTCAGCATCTGGACCCCAAGACTGAACTCTTTTTCTTCTCAGTCCAGTCTGGGCTTGACGTCAAACTCACTTTTTTCCCCAAAGTGACAAAGCTGAGGCCGGGAGTTGTACACACACCACAGAGCTGCAAGGTCTGCCAACCTGTGCACACAGCATAAGTGGTGTCCCTTTAGAGGGTCCTGCAGTGTAGACAGTGTCTCCCCCATGCCAACTGTCTGCTCCTGGCCAGGGAGAAGCAGGGGGCGTGGGGGGCTTCACGGCCCTGTCCTGTCACTGGGGAGGCCAGCTGGACATGGAAATGCCCCAGGGCACTTCTGGGTTTCCCTACCCCCATTTTACAGGTGGAGAGATTGAGGCTCACAGGCAGTATATCTTGCCGGATGCCCACACCCGGGATAGTGGGAAAGATGTCCCAGCTCCCCTGTCTGTTGGTATTCAACCCAACAGCCGGCTGGGCTCAGCTGTGGGGACCAGGTACCAGCTTCTCTCCTGCTCTCTGAAGCCTCAGGGCTCACGTGGGCTGCTGTTTTCGTCAGGGCTCCTGGGATTGCAAGCAACAGAGACCCACCTGCTCAAATGAAGGGCTTCTTCTTTTAAATGAAGAAATCTCACCTTAATCCAAGATGGGGGTAGTGGGGGCCGGTCTCAGGAGACACCGGGCCAGGTAGGTTCACCTCTTCAGCAGAGGGGTGTGGGTGCAGCTCCTTCGGAAGGGGTGCAAAGGTGGCCCGAACCCCCAAACCTAGCAGGCACAGCCGTCCTTGGGAAACGTCCGCACCACTCCTAACCAGTGTCCTGCCGGTCAAGAGACAATGCCGACATCGGCTGGTGAATGGATAGAGAACATGTGGTGTGTCTGTACAGCGGGATATTACTCATAAAAGGAATGAAGTGAATGCCGATATTGTGTTACGACACGGGCGCACCTTGAGAACATTATGCGAGATGAAATAGGCCAGCATTGCATGAGTCCCTTTATATGAAATACCCAGAATAAGCAAGTCCGTAGAGACCAAAAAGCAGATCAGTGGTTGCCGGGAGCTGGGGGAGGGAGGGATGGGGAGTGGCTGCTAATGGGTATGGGGTTTCCTTTTGCAGTGATGAGAATGTTCTGGAACCAGGTAATGGTGATGGTTGCACAACCCTGTGACTATGCTAAAACCACTCAACTGTACACATGAAATGGGTGTGCCCTATGGTATGTGAATTAGATCTCAATAATGCTGTTATGGAAAACAAACAATGGGGAAAACTTAAAACCCCACAGGACACCCGGGAGGGGGCACCTGCCGCGTCAGAGGAGGTCAGGGAAGAAGGCGGTGGCTGAAAACACAGTGAAGTCCTTTTGCACTGCCAGGCGCCTATACGATGTGGAAGGAAAGGCATCCGTTTTCTGGGGCTGAGTCAGCAGTCTGAGCATGCTGGCTGCGTGTCTGCTTGACCCTCCCCGTGGTGGCACATGTCTCTGGTCTCTCCTTAGGTACGGGCAGCTGAGCGGCATGGTGGAGCCACTGGCCGGGGTCTTGGGCGCCTTTGCCGTGGTGCTGGCTGAGCCCCTCCTGCCCTACGCCCTAGCCTTTGCTGCTGGCGCCATGGTCTATGTGGTCATGGACGACATCATCCCGGAGGCTCAGATCAGGTTGGAGAGCGAACCGTCCCTCATCTTCCCCTGGCCAGGTTCCCAGTCCCAGGGCCCCAGCCTCCAGATCTTCTCTTTCTTCATCTGTTACTCCTTTCTTCGCTCCCACCCCTTCCAGCCCCTTCCCAGGATCATCCCCATCCCCTTCTCAAATGTGCTCTCAGAAACGAAAGAGAGATGAGCAGGGAGGGTGGAGAGACTGACCAGTGACCCAAGGCAGGGGCATCTACACTCCACTAATCCAGATGATTAGTTTTGTGTATTGTCCCTTTCTCTCCCACCCATCCCTCGGTGGATTTTTCTGGGGCTGGAATGAGGGGAGAGGTGAGCTCTGATAGCCAAAGCTATCCATCATAGTCTCGTTGTGTTGCTATGGGCTGGGTGTCAGGGGGAAGGGGCTTGCTTTCTTTGTTTCATTTGGTTTTTATAGCAGAATGATGTTGAGGCTAGATTAAAAGGTCATACTCAATAATATCATCAAGAATTTAATTGCCACCCTGTATTATTCAAGCATATATTCCAGAGCCACGAGAGGTATCTTTGGGCAAGTTACTTCTGTATGCCTCAGTTTCCCCACCAGTAACAAGGGATTAATGATAGTGCCGATCTCATGTGATCATCCTTTGGGGTTACGTGAGTTAGTTTGCCTGGCATTTAGCAAGCCCCAAGAAGTGTTACTTGTCAGTATTATTGTTCTTATTAATCATAGTGGTGTACTTTCTATTGGAATTGGACTTCACAGAGGATGCTTCCAGCTTGGATGGTGTCCCAGAGTGCATTAAGGTCTTCCTTCCCTTCCTTCCTAGTGGTAACGGGAAACTGGCCTCCTGGGCCTCCATCCTGGGATTCGTGGTGATGATGTCCCTTGATGTTGGCCTGGGCTAGTGCTGAGATGCTTCGGACCCCAGGAAAAATGGCACCAGGAAACTGCAATGGTTGGCTTCAATGGGACCACAAGCCTCTTCCTTTACATTAAAACACTTTTCCTTTCTCTCCTTTTCATCTCATTATCCTGATTGACTCTGATTATAGTAAGACAGTTTTTACTCTTCTTTGGAGGGAGATCTTGGTTTCACTTAGAATGTCAAGGTGTCACGGAACTCCATATTTTTGTTTGGCCACTGCATAGAATCTTTCTTTGGCGGTATTACCAAGGACGCCCAGATCAGGGAAGTCTCTGCTGTCATACTTTCAGTCTCCCTCACTGGGCTCAGTGGCAGCTTCTCAAGGTCCCCGCCTGCAGGAGCAAGCTACCAAGAGAGAAGCCTCCTAAGCATTTTTGCCTCATGACTCAGAGCGGAATGGCCAGGACATCTCTCATCTGTCCCTCCTGATCGTTCACCATTGATCATGTGCCCATGAGACGGGAACCGGAACGTCACGGTCATAGCAACCCACTCTCCATGGTCCAGCCAGCCCAAGAGAACATGCCTTCCTCTGCATCCCCCGAGGGAGATGCTGTATGGGAGGGGACACAGACAAAGGGAAGGAAATAGGTTAGTCTTTCTCTTTCTTTCTTTTTTAATTTTTTTTAAGGCAAAATTGACACTATTGATGTTAAGGGAATTAGGGAATTCAGACAACTATGAACACAGAGTGTGAATGCAGCTTTGATTAGAGACCTCTGCACTCTATGGATCCCAGAGCAAAGGGGTTTGTCATGGTGTCCAAATCCCCTAGACATTTATTTTGATAAATTTATAGCCTTCAGTTTTCCAAGAGACTTGGGGACACCAGCGGACAGTTGGAACTCAAATCCTCGTGTAGTTATGGAGGGAGCCACTTAAGCTAACCTAAGTGAGAGAAAGACATTTGGAATCTGCAATAGGTCCTTCCCTGTTGACCATGTGACTTGTAACCTGACCTTGAACCCTTAGGCTATCGCAGGCTTTGCTGGAGTTTGGCCAGAGAGCTTAGGATGAAGAAGGAAGAAGGCATAGGAAGAAAAAGAGAGATTTTCTTTTTTACATTCCCCTTGTAGGGTAAATCTTAGCCAAGTCATCATCCTGAAATGATTCTGAAGGATGACTTGAAGTAGACTAGAAGCCAATCTGCTCTTTCCTACACATAGTTTCTCCAATAGGGTGATATAATTTGTCTGCTTCAAACAGAGCTAAGTAAGGCCTGCCGTCCTCATTGGTCAAAGGAGTATGTGGGACCTTGAGTGGGCTCTGCCATTAAGGCAGGCAGCCCAAGACCCAGGCATTCAGGTGTTGTGTTTATCAATGCCCGCCCTCTGAGTTTACACGTTGAATTGCTTCCAAGGGTGAATACCCTGCTCTGTGAATGCTCTGACACCTCAAAAGCCAACCTTATGCTGGGTCTATGTATGTTCTTCTGGAGCACTGATGATCAAAATGGAAGACATTCAGGGGTTTTGATTGAAGTTAATGGGTTTGGTGGTTGGTGTATGTGTATTTGTATGTCTTTGTATGTAGTTCTACATAATGCAAACTTTCTGATGGACAAGACCTCATAACTGTGATTAATATCAATAAAGGGGATATTATTGTGAATGAGCTGTGTTCAGTCCTTCTCCAAGCCGCTTCTTGCCAGGGTTGATAATATAAGAGCTAACTAAAGTTAGTCCCAACATCTCCCCTACCTAATATTAGTATAAGCCAAGGAAAGAGCCCAGATGAGATAGGCCAGTTAGATTCATGGTTCACAACAACAAATCCAACTCCAGCTAACTTAGGAATTTAATGGAAGGCTTTTGGGAGCTCATAAAATCTATAGGAGAAACAATCTTGAAAATGGGCTGGATCCAAGAAAGCTAGAGATCTGGGACCACGACCCAATCGCATCTCAAAAGCAGCTCGGTTTGGGTGCCACAGCCCCCGATGCTGGTCCCTGGACACTGAAAACCACTCCTCAAACTGCCTCTCCTTGGTTCTACCACCACCACCGTGGGGATGAACTCTAAACTGACCCTGATTCTTTGTGTCCTGGTTCCACATTCAAAGTTCTGGGCAGTAACATCTAAGCTGGCAGAGCTTCCGTCCTGTGTCCATGTATGACCATGAACTAGCTGGTCATGCCTCCCTACCAAGACTCACCAAAAAGTGGATTTTCAAATTTTGGAATGAGTTCAGATAGTGGAGACCCAGAAGAAGAAAGAAAACACATTTATTCCATTTATTAGTCTCACTGTTTTGCTGTTCTGCATCTACACACACACTGATTTCTCTGTTCACTTTTAAACAAAGCTTTCTGCTTAGATAGTGGAGCTCTCCCTCTTGCAATTGCAACTTCATACTTCCCCTTTCCAAACGGAGCTACCCTAATCGCCAGCTCCCCCGATAGTGGCGCATTCCTTTTTTGCACTCAAAACCTCTAAACTGGTGGGGTCCAAAGGTGAAAAGAGTGAGTTGTTAGGTAAAACGGAGCAGGCACCACCCCCACTCCCCCATCTTCTAGACCTGCTTAGTCTGGCTCTGGGAGAAACAGCCCCACGTATTGGTCCCTGGTTCTGAACACTTGTTTTAAAGGACAGCATCTCAACTTCATTAGATACTGTCTCAGAGCTAGTCCTGAAACCATATCTGCAGTAAATCAAGTCACAGCTCGAAACAAATGACTGCTCCTGGGTGATAGACTCAAATCACAAGGGTACCCACCCGTTGCCTTCCCTCTTTGATGGCAAAGTGAATTCCATGGTCCGAAGCAGCATCACATAGAATGCCACAGTGATAGGGAAGCAATTTGCAAATCCAGATATATGAGCCTGCTTTAGTGGGGTGAAATCTGTGCCTTGTCCACAGTGAAAGAGGTCCAAAGTAATCAGTCTTCAACTAAGTAGTCTGTGGGTGTCTTTGGAACATCACCAGCACCCAGGGTCTGGGCCCAGTCCGTATAAACCACTTCCAATTAGTAATGGAATTTTATGAGTGTGTTAGATGACCCATACGTAATGGACAGCCTGGGCTGTCAATTTAGCGATCCTCAGTACTTTAGGGATAATCACCTGCTGTCCTAGGCTTCTCATGCTAGCACAGTAACCCTAGGATCTCTGTAACAATTATAGGTCAATAAATTGAGACTCATTTAGACTTATGTTCTTCCCTCCATTGTTGAGCATCCTAAAAATCTATTCCTACCCATATTTGCCCCCAATTTGTCAGTAAAATTAGAAAAATCCTTGGGGAGGGTATATGCTATGGTGAGCACTGTGAATTGTGTCAGACTGATGAATCACAGACCTGTACCACTGAAACAAGTAATATGTTATATATTAATTTAAAAAAAAGACCAAAAAAAAAAAAACCCCCACACATTTTTGTCATTTACCTGAAATTTAAATTTAAGAAAGAAAATTCCTGAAATTATGTTGGTTTCAAATCCTTATTCGCTCGGGTTTGAGTTTGCCATTGCCCTTCCTTTGGAGGCATGCTGGGATGTAACTCTGATCATTTCCGGAAACAGTACAGGGTAGTGCATGAGGAGAACCGGCTTTCCCTTGGAGGGTGACTCCTTCAGGCCAAGCAATTACAGTGTCTTCAAGAAGTGTTTCAGAAGACGAGGAAAGGCAGTGTGTTTCAGCTGACAAAGGAGGCTCTTTGAGGGTCTAGAATTCAGAAAATTCCAAGGCTTTCAAATCCTCCCATATATCTCTGTTTTGCTTTTCTGGGTCCCACTGCTTCCTGACCAGTGCTTTCTATGGAAAACACAGCCACCACCAGCACAGATATTTAGCCAATCATGGGGATCAAATTTTGCTTTTGTGTTTCTACCTTTCTCAGCCTTAAGGGCGCAGGAGGTAAGAGGATATTTAGGAACTGTCCTAAGAGATCTCTAGGTTTCCGTCTTTTCCTTGAGCTCATATTTCAGGACTGGAGCTTACAAGTGTGTTTTCTCTAAGCTGCTATTAGCACTGCTTGCGGGGACTGCCTCTCAGTCTTCACGGCCTTGACTGTTTGATGGCTGGAACTTGTTCCCTCGAGGCTTTGTCTCTGATGGGCCCTTTGTTCCAGGTGACTGTAATTGAGAGATGGGGGGATAGGTATTAGCCTCTGGATCTTCTTTGGGGACCTATCAAAGACACTCTCCTCTGCTGTTCTGAGGCAAGGACCAAAAGGCCATTAGGTGAAGACTGTGGGCCAGGCGGGGTGCTATGCGCCTTAGTCACCTCCTTTAAAGCTCGACTTCCAGATGATTGCCCCACTTGGCTGACAAGGAAGGTGAGGTCCAGGAAATCTTACTCTGGCCAAGATGGTGATAGGCAGTGGCAGGATCGGTTCTGCTTTGCGCGGAGGAGGCAGAAAGTGACTTCCCCACACCCTGCTCCCTAAAGCTTTCCAGGTGCAACATTCTACACCCCTCCACCATGTAATAAATGGTTGAATCTGTGAAAGTTGGAAGCACGTGGGAGCCCAGGGGTCGTTCTTTTACCCCCTTCCTTCTAAACTGAGGTATGATAGATAGATATATATATATAGATATATATATAGATATATATAGATATATATAACAAAGGCACAGACCCTAAGTGTATACAGTTCCACCAATTTTTACCTACGCGCCCCTGGGCCGAGCCCCGCGACAGGGTCTTGGGAAGCCACAGGCGTGCACTCCCCCGCCCTGGCTACGTGCCCTGGTCAGCCGCCCGGCCCGCAGGTGCCACCCGCCTGCCCCGCCAGCTGAGGTTGGGCTGCCTGCGCGGGCGCTCGTTCCGGGCGCGGCGGGCGCCGGGTCACTGGGAGCCTGCCGGGCCCGCCTCCCCGGGGCGCCTGGCGCTGCGCCGGGGCTGGCTTCCCGGGCGGGCTCCGCGGGCTGCGGGCGGCTGTTTACCTGCGCGGGGCGGGGCCGGGGCTCCCGGGACGCGCTGGGACCCGCCCCCTCGGCCGCCCCGCCTGCAACGAACTCCGGAGGCCTTCACCCCGCTGGGGTGCGGCGAGGCCATTCCGGCTCCGCCGAACGGACCGCTGGATTCCCGGGACTCTTTGCTGTCTGCAGGCTTGTCCCTTGCAGGGGTGGACCTGGATTCGGGGGATCCGAAGTTGATACAATTTGAGGAGCGTTCTCTGGGGAAAATAAAAGGACACACACACACAATTAGGCACAGGGCTTTGGAAGGGGCGCCTGAGTCCAGCGCCCCTGCGGTTCAGGCCTCACTGGCTGTAAGGTAAGTTCACCTCTGTAAGTACACCCCGAGCTGTAATTGACCCTGCCTGACAATGCTAGGGGATCTCAGAGGTTCCAGAACTTCGGGAGTTTTATTGAGTGGGTTCACTTTGTGATCATCTTCCTAACCCAGCCCAGCCCCTGCAGCTGTGACAAGGGGTGGACGTGTGTTCACAGGCAGGAGGAATACTACTCAAAATTGTGCTGCTCTGTCCAGGAGCGGAAAGAACTACACCTGGAAGAAGTGTTTTCCTTCTTCCTGAAGAGGGAGGAGGAGGAAGGCTGGCCCTGGGCTGCAGGGAGCCAGGGCGGGAAACAGCAACCCTAAGCCTTCCTTTGGATCCACTCAGCCCTCTTCCTTTCTAGTTCTCCTCCTCTTGACAGTGCCTGGGCTTTGCCAGCGACTTGATAGCAAAGGGGCCCCGCATGGCCACCCCAAGAGCTGAGATCTATGTGGCTTCTGATGGGGTTGCTCAGCCTCGGGATCCCCAAGTGTCCTTAGGGCACCTCTCTTCCAAGACACGGAAGCCATAGGTGGATGGATGAGTGAAAAGAGCAGCTGAATTATGTTAGCCCAGGGAAAGGCCTAGGATTCTTTTTGCACAGGGTAAACCTTGGGACCTGTATCCCAGCACCACTTGATTCTTCCCCAGATTAAAAGATCAGACTGGAAATTGTTTGGCATCTCCTCTGATGTGTTTGCCCCTCTCTGGCAGACTTGCAACCACAACGTTAACAAGTCTTTTAGTGGCCTTGTTGTCTAGCAAGGAGGGGTATGGGTCTAAAGTTTTTGGAGTTGGTGAGGACCCAGCTCTGGGGTTTAAGGTCAGGCTTAAGTCCCTTCGTTGATGGCGAGCCATGACCTCCAAGAAGTCCAGGTTGTGTCAGGGAAGAAGGAAAAGGTAGGGCAAGCCCGGCGGGAGCATGCAGAGCAAGGGGCGACCCTTAGGCATAGTTTGGTTCTCTTTTCTAGGTGCGCAGTAGGGGTGTTGGAGGTGTACCCCCTTCTCTGTCCTTGCCTTTTAGCTTTAGGGTTGCACATGCACTTGGGTCTGCAGTCCACACTGGTCACGACCACACTGTGGAGGGTGTCCCATCGCAAAGAACAATCAGCTGTTTTAAGATTAGTACTTAGATGTCTAGTTCATCAAAGTTTCTCTTGAACAGGAACCTGCTCCCTTTGTGCTCTTTCAATGAAAATGCTGATTGAACTTACTGTGTGAAATTATGGGGAATGTACAATTGGTCATTTACTAGCAAGTCCATAATATAGGTTAAAAGAAAAAGGACCTCAATCTCTTCAATAAATGGTTCATGAATCTATAGATTTCCTTCCATGTGGGCGTTGGTCATATTTAGTAACTTGGTGGGAGATGGTCACTGTCTTTAGTGTTCT